TACTACGAGAATTACCCGTAGGTTTTTGTAAATTATTTAAATAATGATTAAGATTATTTATATTAGGATTTAAGTATGGATTTTTCCAATTCGTAGGATCTAGCACTGCAGCAGAGCGTGATCGATAGATCCAGTAGTAGGCTACCCTATCTGATTTCTTATACTGTTACAGGTGTGTTTTCCCGACAGTTTTACATTATTACTGTTTTAAACTATATATCTGAATATTGTATATCTGATATCTGATTTACCGTATATTTCTGATATGATTTCTGGTTGAATTATGAGTTTGAGATAAAAGATCTAGTGAGGCCAAAACGATTCTTGGTATGTGGATAAGCAGAGATAGACAGAGAGGAAAGCTTTGTTTAACTCAGAAGCAAAATCTGAGAAAGGTATTACAATGTTTTGGCATGAATGAAAATACAAAACATGTAAGTATCCCACTATTTTCTCATTTGAAACTTAGTTCCCAATTATCTCCTAAAAGTAACGAAGAACGAGAGTATATGGCAAAAGTTCCATATGCTAATGCATTTGGGAGCTTGATGTATGCAATGCTGTTTACGCGTCCTGACATTTCACAAGCAGTTGGACTTGTGAGCAGGTACATGCATGATCCTAGAAAAAGACATTGGCAAGATGTGAAATGGATTCTATGGTATCTCCAACAAACCGTGGATGTTGGTTTAGTTTTTGAACATGATAAAGCACTTGGTCAGTGTGTGGTTGGATATGTTGATTCCGACTATACTGGTGATTTGGATAAGCGTCAATCAACTACTGGGTATTTGTTTACTCTTACTAAAGCCCCAGTAAGTTGGAAGTCTACTTTGCAATCTACGGTGGCTTTGTCTACTACAGAGGCAGAATACATGGCAGTTTCAGAGGCTATGAAGGAAGCAATTTGGCTTAACGGGTTGATGGAAGACTTGGGAGTTGTTCAAAGTCATATTAGTCTCTATTGTGACAGTCAGAGCAATATTCACTTAGCGAAAAATCAAGTCTACCATTCAAGGACTAAGCATATCTACGTGAGATATCACTTTGTGCGGGAGATCTTTGAAGAAGGAAATATTCTACTTCAGAAAATTGCAACAGTAGAAAATCCTGTAGATATGATGACCAAGGTGGTAACAGTAATCAAGTTCAATCATTGTTTGAACTTGATTAACATCCTGAAAGTATGAACACCTTCGAGTGTGTGGCGCTTGTGAGCGCAATTAGAGGCACTACATTAAAATAATTTCATCAAATTTGGGGAGTTGAAGAAGTTGAGTAGGCTTGGTAATTTCAAGCCAAGGTGGTGATTTGTTATGTTTGACTTGAAAGTTGGCAAAGTTGACATCTTTGGTTGGTGGCTAACTTGTACACATTGATAAATTCATCTTTAGTAGGTGGCCAACTTGTGCACATGGGAATTTCATCTTTGGTCCCTAAAATATTAGGTTATTTATAAGTTTAGTTCTTAAAACTCAACTATAAATAGGCCTAAGTATTTCCATTAGAAATCATCCAAAAATAAGTTCTCTCTTCTATTTGTTTTCTTCATTCTCTCACTTTGGGAATTCTAAAGAATTCCATTTGTTGTAATATTTGTTGATAGTGAAGTTATCATCCAGTGTGGTGCCCGAGGAGTAGACGATATTCTTGTCGAACCTTGTAAATTTGGCGTGTTCTCTCCTTTATTGTTCTTTATTCAGTTTTTTCATTGTGTTTCAATAATCAATAGTTTCACGAGTTTATCCGCTGGGCAACCTTTGGTGGTTTTGATCTTGACATTTTAGGTCAATTTTGAAACTACGTTCGTGTGGGAAATAACTCGGTTTCCCCAACAGTTTCTTCATTGCATACATAAGAAGTAGATGAAAAAAATTCAATTCTCTGCAACTTTGAATATTCAACGAGGGAGAAGAACAAAACTAGGAATAATAAGAAAAATACACAAGAATCAATTTTGGCTTTCATAGCTGCTTCATATCAGCCAAGTTTTGAACCAATGATATTACTCCTTTTGCTTACTAAAGGCCTTGAATCAAGCAATATATATAAATATAGGGATAAGTTACAAATATACTTTCCAACCAACTCTTACCTCAAAAATGTTTTAACTGTAGGATTGCCCAGTTCAAACTTCAAAGACGAGAGTATGTCTGCTTCCATTTTCACCACCTTCATGTTTAGCCAACAACATTCAGTGAGTGACTGAAGAATAAAAGTAAACAAGTAGAAAGAAAGGAAATGTTACCTCTTCTTTTGTGTATGTATTATCTGTTATATAACAAAAAACTTTAGCATTTGGAGGATTTCTTCATATTTTCTAATTGAAAACAGGAAAAAAAAGGCAATAAGTAACGACAACATTTACAATAATTTTAATTAGAAAAAAAACAAGAAGAAAATATCAAGGAATTGAGAAGCTTACAAGACAATGAGCATTGAAGAAACACCCAATAGTTGAAGTCCCTGCCAGCTGAGAGCATTTGAAGATAATAATCTATCAATGTAGGAAACTGTCAAATACAAAGTGTCTGAAACAAGCTTGTATTCCTCTGCAACTTCCACCAACCAATCCACCAAAATCGCTCTCATGTTGGTACTAACATCCTTCTATACCTTCTCAATGTAATCAGGTAAAGATCTTCTCTTTGGATCCATCTAATATTAATTGCATCATAAAAAGTTATCACTTCGGTGACTTTAGCAGAAATCCCACTTATAGCCATCATCAATATACCCAATAATCAGGGATGGACAGAAGAGAGCAGCTGAGTCAATCACCCATGAAAATTTTGAATTGTCATATATTTTAAATATTTATTTTCTATTAATAATATGTTTTCCCTCCCTCTTAAAATTTTACAAGCACACCCCAGCCTAAACTCATGCCTTGGTCCCTCTCAAAAACCTACAACAAATTAACAAGTATCATAACCCAAATCCCCCATATCAATTGCCAAGCCAAGTTCAAGCAATACCCCAGTATAAACATTGCCTCTTATCATTGCCTCTTATCATTGCAGCCTAAAAGTATTCATTGACAAGGAAAAACATAACTCTTGCCTAACATTTACCAACTAAAACTAAATAGTTATGAATGAAAGAAAAGGGAATACCTCTATTTGATGAAGATATTCATAGATATCAGACGCATAAAACCCACACATTTGTGGGTCAACATTAGACACGGCATCAATATCCACCGGTTTTTCAACTTCAGCGTTCTCTTTCGCCTCATGTAAAAGCGGCTTTACCACTCCAGCCTTTCTCTTCGCATTCCCTTTGGTTGTCTTATTCCCTTGAACCTCATTAACCGAGTCAAAAACGTTAGATAAATTGAAAATATCTCCCAAAACAACCCTTTTCGTATTGGAGACAGTCTCCACCGTTATCCCCGCCGACTCGGTAGCCCTCTTCTTGGCAGTTGCCCTTGTCAGTCTAACGTAGTTTTGCTGATCCGCCATTGCCTCTTGCTGGTTCACTTCAGCTTTGCAGAGAAAGGAAGGAGATTGGGAATGAAGAGAAGAGAGGGGGGGATAAAAGGGGTGAAATCAAAAGCGCCATTTTGGGATTTTGTTTTTGAAAAACTTGGGAGATTAGTGGTATAGTTGGGTAACTATGCGCTCAGAATTTTGGTAATTGTTTGAGTTGCGGCCTCCATATTTTTTTTAAATGAATCCCGAGGACAGGCAGACCCGTTCACTCTATTTAATTCTCATAAATAATTTAGGGTAAATTCTATTATTTGGTTCTCCATCTATTTTTATTTTTGTGTTTTTATCACCAAATTATTTCTTCTCTAAAATCATATTTAATATTCATTTTATTTATATTTAATCATTGATCAGTAAATTTAACTGTTAATTTAGAGACAATTGTGATGTAACATGGTAAAATACTAATTATTTTCTATAGGAAAATTCTACAACGCTCAACGAGAACTAATGAATACCACTAATAATGAGCATCATTAATCTAACTTATAAAAATTTAAAATGTTAAAGGGCTCAGCGTATAATTATAAATTAGTTAAAAATTAAAGATAAATTATTTAAATTAAATGGTAAACTATACTAGTGACCATCTAACTATTGCCCTTTTTCATTTTGACCACCATTCTTGAAATTTTTAATCAGGTCACTCAACTATTTAAATGCATTCAATTAAGCCACTTGTTGTTAACATTTAAAGGAGTAGCTGATGTGGAAGTTAAAATATTTGATATAATTACACATTTGGTCAGTGTTACTTATATATTCTATCAAATTGGTCTTAATCTTAATAAATTAAAATAAATGTAACCCTCAAATCAAATGGTACCATGTATCACTAGTGTCAAGTGTAATGACATGTGTCACCATCCGTGAGAATTGAATCTAGGGGAAAGAAAATTTTGGGGCGTTTAAATGAAACCCATGAGAATTGAATTTAGGGTTCCTTAGTACAAGAAACAAGGCTCAGCAATTGAGTCAAAGTAGTTAATTGGTTCAAACTTTACTACATATATGATATATGTTGTATATTAGTGGAAACTTAAATTCTTAATATTTTATATATATTAACTTAAATTCACATATTAAATTAATTTTACATCTTAACATTAAAAAATATATTTTATCTTAATTTATTTATTTTATTTTATTTTTTTAAACCTAAAAATATATTTTATTATTATTTTAATTAAAATAATATATTTTAATCTTATCTTAAATTAAAAATATAATTTATTCTTATCCTAACTCAAATATTTATATTATATTATGATAATATTTTAAATTTAAGATAAAAGTATAATACATTTTTTTTGTAGTTAAGATAAAAATAAAATATATTTTTTAGTTAAAATAAAAATATATTTTTAAGTTAAGATAAGAATAAAAGATATGTTTTAAGTTAAAATAAGAATTAATTTATATTTAATAATTTAAGGTAAGAATAGAATATATTTAATAATTTAAGTCCGAGATGAACACATGATGCTTCTCGGGAATGAAAGGAGAAGAAAAGTAAAGCTAACTAAAATGGAAATAATGAGATGTGATGATGATGTATAAGATTAGTCATAAACTGAAGCCATTCGTCCATTGAGGCATCGGTAGCCCTAGTCCCGACTTCCACCTTTGGAGCCCTCTTAGTTTTCTAGCAAAACAAAGAAGTCAAAACACGTTAGCTTTATTCCATAAACGAAACATAAGATAACATGTACACGAGCACTTCTCCCTCTGGCTTTCTCTCCTTACAGGTGTGCATGACACAATAAAGTAACATGGCTAATTGAAGCTTTCTTTAATGCAAGAACTAAACATCACACATATTTACAATTCCCGGAAGAGGAGCTAGTATTAATGATGTATCATGATACTGTATTGTTGAACGTAGTTGTTGCAATAAATTAATATACAACTGAAGGTGGCATAACTAAAATACCTTGGTGATACGCTGAAATTGACCATGAAGCCACAAACCAAGGAGAACAAGAAGTGCAATACCAAGGGTAACAAGAAACACGGACTCAACACTGAGGAAACCACCAGCCTCAGCAACTTCAATGGTACCGTTATAGAATATACTTTGGAATGGCTGCTGGTCAATCTCATAGATAATCGTACCCACAAGATCAAAAGTTCCTGCCTGAATCAAAAGTTTAGATGTGTAAGCTTCACTGCAAGACTACTTCTCGTTGAAAGAATTTATATACAGTTTTAGGGCATAGAACTCCAAGAGTACTCATTTACCTGTAAGTACTTGCTAACAACAAATATGTAAGGGAAAGTAGCTTGCACTGAAGGGGGTAGAGTTGCATTGTTGAAGGCCTACATGAAAACAGTTATATTCAATTACATAAACTAGAAACATCACAATGCAGCTTTTGTGCAACAATATATGGTGTAACACTCCAAAATATTAGGCCTAGGGTGCGTGATCAACTTTGTACCAGCGTATAACCTCAAGATCTTTTTAAAATACTGCAGAAACCGTTTGATGATGAAGTACAAAAAAAAAAAAAAACTTAGAACACAGTATACCAAAAGCACTGGCACAGCATAATAATTGCACAATGAACATGAATGCCTAAACTATATATACATGCTCAATCTCATCTGAGGATCATTGTAAGGTCTACACTTACAACTTAAAGACAGAAAAATCTACACTTGTGCCAAAACTCTGTGCTAATGTTTCTTAAATTGAGATATAACTTCTCAATGCAAGGTCAACATCCATCCACCACACTGAAAAATAACAGCTATAATAACTGACTCAACTATAACTGTTATTGTTGATTAGAGTAGGTACTAGGTATGCAGTTGCAAGTGAAACACAGACTAAAGTCTCACAATGCATAACTCATATCATTGACCATATGTTTGATGATGGATATTTAAACATGCAATAAGATACCATAAAAACATGAGAACATGCATGGTCAATGACTTAACTCCATAGACATCATATGTTAAGCAAGCTGTCGTAACCAGTTTTTGCCCGGGCACGAAATTTTACTTAGCGGGAAAAATAATGTGGACAAAAATGATTTTTATTTAAAATAAATGTTTTTGGAGTCGCCATCGACCTTTTTGGATTAGGTAGGTTGAATACCTAAAAATCATCTTTTAAAAGATAAACTGGTCTGCGTATAACCAAAATTCATTCTTTTAATAAATAAAAGGGATTCGTGGTCGGTTACGTTTGGGGAAGGATTAGCACCCCCATAACGCCCAAAATTGGTACCTGTTGATTATATATTGTCTCTATTAGTAGAAATCTAAGAATTCAAATATAAATTTATTTTACGATCCTTTTATTTCATATTCAATTGCATAATTATATTTAAAGAAAATTGTAAGGAAAAATATAAAATATTCCAATATTTCCAATCGAAGAGAAACTATTTCCTAAAATATTTTAGGACAAATATTTCTCTTTCCGATCGAAATAATAAAAATTTGATCATTCTTCCCAAGAAATAATATTAAAATAATTTGATATAACCAAAAAATAAAATAAATACATTTTTAGGTTTTTTTATAAGTAATATATTTATTATTTTAAAATATTTAAAATAGAATATTTAATTACTAAGACAATAAAAAATATTATTCTTTAATTAAATTATAAAATTAATTAAATTAATTAACATAAGATATTATGATTATTTAAAAATGTGTAAATGAATAAAATAATATGAAAAAAAAATAAAAACGTTTATTAAAAAAACATTAATTAACATAATATATTAATATTATAGTAATTTAAAGAATAAAATTTAAAAGTACTAACATTATTATATATTAAAACCAATAATCATGGGATTAGTATTTAAAAATAATAAAACAAAAGTTAGTGCTTATATTAATATAATTTAAAGTGTAGCATCCAATGTAGTGCTCTTTAAAAAAACAAAATATTAAAGTAAAATAATATATATATTTTTTAAAAAAACGTGAATAGTATTAAAATATAATAAAAGAAAAATTAATGCTCTTTCTTTTCAATTTGTTATTATTACTTATTTATTTATTTTATTTTAAAGCTAGTATAGATTATTTGGATATCTACGTGATAAAAATAATAAATAAGTAAATTCGAAATAAAAATAAAATATATGATTAAATAAAAATAATATAAATTATTAGTCAATATTCAAAATATTATAAAATATATATATTAAAAGTGTAAATAATCCTAAAATATTATTTAAATATATATAAATATACATTTAGTGACTAAAATGAAAATAAATAAAAGGTGAAGACAAAATTAAAAGATATAGAAACCTGATTTTGTTGACTATAATAGAAGATTATAAAATACATGGATCATGGAAGTGATTTAACAATTTTGAAATTGCACACACACTCCCTCACCAAAACGACGTAGTTTTGATAAGTGTATAAATAGGCCAATATAATCCTAAAATCATTACTTCATTCTCATTTGTAATTTTTTGTTCTCTCTCTAAAGGGAGAGAAACTCTCTCTTCTCTCTAAATTCCCTCACCGGAGGAAACTCCGTTCACCGGCCAACCACCTGCCGGTCACTATTACGACCACTGCCCGATCACTATTCACACCACCGGTCACTATTTCAGTTACTATTCACTGTCAGAAAAAATAAAAATAGCTTAAATCGTAGATCGGCTCATCCTAAACTCGAAACCACCCTCATTTTTTCCTAAAAAACTTCAAAACAGCTTAGATCTGAGATTTTACATTCGGTAAAACAACTTTTCTGACGACGTTTGGGCTTCGACGAAGGTAAGATCTCCTTTCTTTTCTTCTTCTTCTGGTTTGTTTGTTGCTCATTGGTGTTGTTTGCTCTCTTCCCGTTGTTGCCGTTGTATTTTCGTTGTCTTTTTTCTTTGCAGATTCGAAGGCCTTTTATAGGCTTCAAAAGGCCTTAGAACACCGTTCATTTTGGTGAGTCACCGGATCTACGATGGTGACTCACCATATAGATGATGAAGTGTGCGGCCATCTTTACTTCTTCTGAAGTCTTCTGTGCGGTGGTGACGTCATGGCGGCGTCGGAGTAGACCACTTGGAGGCAGCGACGTCGTGGTAACGTCGGAGTGGACCACTTGGAGGCAGTGGCCGAAATATCTCTATAAGGTTGGTGAACCCTATGATTCTTCTAGATTGGATCTGGACAGTTAGATCTCTCAAGATCTAACGGTTGAAGATGATGGCAACTGTGATAAGATATGAAAACCCTAGAAGGGTCTTGGGCCTCCATCTGGTTTGGGTCAGTTCTGGTTGTGTAAAACGGGCCTGGTGATTGGGCTCCGGGATTTGTAATATATTTGTTAAATAATAATAATAATAATATATATAATATTAATAATAATAATTTTAATAATAATAATAAAATGAAATAAAAAAAATTAGTGTTTACAGCTGCCCCTTTTTGCTCATTCTTGTGTTAACAAGAATAGAGAAAAGACGAAAAAAACAATAATTTTTTTCATTTAGCTTCTTTTGAGTAGGATGAAAATGTTGAAAACATTCTGCCCAGAAGTCTTATAAATGACCCGAAGGTTTTGAAAACATCATGCACTGAAGGGCTTACAGATGACCCGAAGGTTTTGAAAACATCATGCACTGAAGGGCTTACAGATGAACATCATGCACTGAAGGGCTTACAGATGACCCGAAGGTTTTGAAAACATCATGCACTGAAGGGCTTACAGATGACCCGAAGGTTTTGAAAACATCATGCACTGAAGGGCTTACAGATGACCTGAAGGTTTTGAAAACATCATGCACTGAAGGGCTTACAGATGACCTGAAGGTTTTGAAAACATCATGCACTGAAGGGTTTACAGATGACCCGAATGTTTTGAAAACATCATGCACTGAAGGGCTTACAGATGACCCGAAGGTTTTGAAAACATCATGCACTGAAGGGCTTACAGATGACCCGAAGGATTTGAAAATATCAAAAAGCTCCCAAAGGCTTTTTGAAAACATCTTGCACTACAGGGCTTACGGATGTGGGAAATAGTTTACTGAGTAAGAAATTTTGGAAATCGTTTTCTTACTATTCAACAATTTCATTTTCAGAAAAGATTAAATGAGAAACTTTGGAAAGCGTTTTCTCATTGAAATAACTTGTTGATTGGGTAACATGCCCCAAAATAATACTTCTTCTGTGGATTACGTCTATCTATTCTTCAGATGTTTGTGTCTCCTGATGTGATTTGAATTCTACCTTCTTCTTGTAAGGTATTTTTCATCATGAATCTTCTTGTTCATACGAAGATCTGTAAAACTTCATGTTTGAATGCACTTATATGTATCAATGTAATGCATTGTCTATTGTGTAAATGATGTTCTTATGAATGCATGAATGTTGATGCAATCTTCATTTGTCTTCAAAGTGGTGAACTTGGCCTTCCTTCACTTGATCAGTTATTGCCAGGGTTACCTTTGGATATCAGTGTAGCAACCTATTCCATAAAGCTGAAGAACTATCTGACCAATCTTGTATTTTTGTATCTTTTTTGCTTGCATTAAAATCTTTGAAGAAATGTTTCATTTATGGAACTCTTGCCGTAATCAGAATTATGATATTGATGCCCCATTTTTGTCTTTGATAACATCGGTTTTCTTTGCTTGAACTTGTATAGAAATTCAATAAATCTTTCTTCTTTGAAAAGAGAATCTATCATCTTTGAAGAGAGAATCTATCATCTTTGAAGAGTGTAGATATAGATATGTATGACTCAGCAGAGATTAATAAGGAGATCAACATCTGTTCTGATTTGACTCTTGAAACACATCACAAGGAGGATTTATCCTAATTCCTTTCATGTCTCCACATCTAATCAGATCTTGAACAAGGTAATTTGGACAATATCATGTTGAGATGCTTAACAACAATCTGTCGTTCAACATTAGTTGGCTCCACTAGTTTCTTGTTGTTAAAATTTCTGTTTTCCTTCTGTGGAAAGAAATCTTCATCATATTTCACTTCAAAGTTTGGTGTTGAAGAAGACAGACTTCATCACGAATCCATAAATAGAAATGCCATATGATTGTAACATTGGTTCAGCACCATAATTATTGGTTCGTAAAACACTTGACAACATATTCATCAGCTGTGGCATCGGTCACGTTTTCTTCCTTAATGAGTGTTGTAGGAAGTAGAAACACATCAACTATATGAGCCATGTAGAAAAAAGGTTCATGGAATTCTCTTCATGTTTTCACATACTTAAGAAATACTCAATTATTCTGACGGAAATGTATGAGATATGTGCCTCTTATGAATGAGGTGACCATTTACAGTGATACAAGTTCTTGAAAAGTCCGCACCCATGCAGCATGTTGATTCTGATGACTACTCATATGATTATGAAGC